CTTAAACTGCATTCGTTGTAGTAGGAGTGTTTGGTTGAGTTGGATATTGACTTGGTGATTTTGATTGGTATGTGAAAGACTCCAAGAATCTTGTTTGTCTAAATGCTACTTGGATGAATATCATGTTTATGTGATTGTCGCAAGTATAAATTGAAATGCTAGTGGAGATTTTTGGAGTAAACCGTGGTTATTTGAACGTATGCAATGAAATGATGTAGTTTTCATCGAGTGGATGTCGATCTAGTTATTGCATTTTTGGGTGCGAGCTAGTACATCTTGGTAAACGATGAGTATGGAATCTCACTTCGAACTGGGTTCGAGAGTGTCGTGGCGAATCTGACCGTATAGGTTGATCGTTATGAATGATTGTTGTGGTAATAGATCAGGGAGGTCTATTGTGATGGAGGAAATAATCGAGAATCTTTAGTTCGATTATAATAATTTTCTCTTGGTTGTCTTAATGTTTGACTTGGGTATTTGGGCTCTAGAAGAGTAGCCCATGATTTGGCTATGTGGTATCACTGTTACGTGGTATGTGCCCTTATTTGTCGTCTGAGTGATCTTAATTGTTTGGAGGGTTAGATCCAAGTGTGGTCGGGTATATATTATGCCTAAAGGGTAGGCAATGATAGTATCTTCCCGAGAGTAACCTAACAAAATTTCGGGGATGAAATTTCTTGTTAGGGGGGAAGGATTGTAACACCTCAATTTTTGTTTTCGGATTGATTGGAAAACTTAGGGTGTTGAGGTGCATGCTTGACCATTCTCTCTTGGACGAGAGGGTCTCGCCTAAGCGAGGGACTCAACGTTTTAAGTTTGAGAAGTATAGGAACCTCACCCAAGCGAAGAAGTGGTCGTTTGAGCGAAAGTGAAATTTGGAAAAGCTGTCAAATTCTAGCTCGAGCTAGGATTTTCGCCCAGGCTAGAGGGGGGCCTTTGCATACTGCCCGATTCTCACCCGAGCGAGAAATCCGCGCCCGGGCGAGAGCTTTCCAGTGTGAAATGTGAAAAAGTCGCGAAATTCTCGCCCAAGCGAGCCGTTCTCGCCCGGGCGAGAGCGTCAGAGCTATAAAAGTGAAAAAGGGGATCTAGAAACCCTAATCTTCATTTTCTTTCTCCTCCTTTCTCTCCCAACGGTGGCTCCACCCAAATGGACCATTTTTCCCACTACTAAGCCTCAAAACTCAGCAAAACCTTCCTCTTGCTTCACGGTGACAAATTTGGAAAAGCTTGGAGGTGAAAAAGCAACAATGGAGGTTGGAGGAGATGAAGGGAGATGTGGCTCTTTTGCGGAGCAACGGAGCTTATGCAACCTAAGGTGAGGGAGAAGACCATTGTGGTCTTAGAGTATTTCATTAGAGTCATCATCTCCGATTTCCCTCAAGAATCAGAGCATATTAACGGATAGAAACTCTTTTGGGAGTTTGTGGTCCATATGAGAGTCTTTATTTTACATGAGGATGTATTAGCCATAAAAGTGGAGATATATGTGTGGGGAAAACCGTCTATTTAAGTAAATCTCTATATGCTCATTTATGGTAATAAACCGTCATTAAAGATGGTTCTAACGTTAATGTGTATATGATGAAGAATATGTTATGTGTGGTTTGTTTATGATAATGGTTATGTTGTGTGATAATGATGGTGTGTGAGATATTTATGGTCATAAGCATAAATGAGTATGTTGTGGGTTGTTGATTGTTATAAACATACATGGGTGTGTTTGTAACAATGAATGTGTGATGAGTTGTGAATGTGTTAAAATGGATATGAGTATGTTTATCAAAATGAGTATGTTGTGAGTGGTTGATTGTTATAAATATGTATGGGTGTGTTGTAACAATGAATGTGTGATGAGCTGTGAATGTGTTAAAATGGATAAAGCTATGTTTGTGACAATGAAGGTGTTGTATGTTATTTATGGTGATAAAATAATGAGATGCCTTGTGTTGATTGTGTATGACATGGATGTGAGTGTAATGTGGAAACTCGACCTGCCCGATGTGGTATGGGGTAATAACTCGACCTGCCCGATGTGGTATTGGGTAATAACTCGACCTGCCCGATGTGGTTTGGGGTAATAACTCGACCTTCCCGATGTGGTATGGGGTAATAACTCGACCTGCCCGATGTGGTATGGCGTAATAACTTGACCTGCCCGATGTGGTGTGGGGTAATAACTCGACCTGCCCGATGTGGTATGGGGTAATAACTCGACCTGCCCGATGTGGTATGGGGTAATAACTCGACCTGCCCGATGTGGTATGGGGTAATATCTCGACCTGCCCGATGTGGTATGGGGTAATAACTCGACCTGCCCGATGTGGTGTGGGGTAATAACTCGACCTGCCCGATGTGGTATGGGGTAATAACTCGACCTGCCCGATGTGGTATGAGGTAATAACTCGGCCTGCCCGATGTGGTATGAAAAATGAAATCGATGAATACGATCAAGTGTGAATATGAATGATGAGAAATGAGAATGTCACAAAAAATGTCATATGCATGCTATATGATATATAGTATAGGATATATATCTTATAGGGTGAATATGAATGATGAGAAATGAGTATATTTGGATAAATAAATATGCACACTATAGAACACATATAGTATGGGATGTATGTGTACTATAGGGTGAATATGGATAATATGTGATAAATAAATATGCACACTATAGAATACATATAATATGGGATGTATGTGTACTATAGGGTGAATATGGATAATATGTGATAAATAAATATGCACACTATAGAACACATATAGTATGGGATGTATGTGTACTATAGGGTGAATATGGATAATATGTGATAAATAAATATGCACACTATAGAACACATATAGTATGGGATGTATGTGTACTATAGGGTGAATGTGGATAATATGTGATGAATTAGTATGCACATTATAGAACATATATAGTATGGGATATATGTGTACTATAGGGTGAATATGGATATTATGTGTTGATTGAGATATGCTTATCATGATTGATGATTAGATGTGTGTGGTTTTAATACTTTAATGTCATTACTCCATTTAATTCCAAATTGTATAATCAAATTTCATTTACTCATTTTTGGAATTATTTTATGATAGATATGTTAATCACCAAAGTGGTCAAATCTTTATGTTTATTTAATTACAAATTGTATGATCACATTTCATTTACTCATTAACTTAATACTATGAATGATACAACAATGATTGATTTATGAGTAAGTTGAAGTTCATTATTATAAGATAGTTATGAATCATCCAAATATTGATTGTTTGTTCTTATAATCAAATATAATGAATGTTGATAGTTGATGAGCATTATATTACATACTATTCATAACCTTAATTTACCATTGCTAATGATTCTTGGTATCTAATTGACTTTGTTTGACATGATTTAGTGTTTAAGGCTTTATTGGTTAACTGTATATTGAAATTTACTGTTTATGAGATTAAATTTATCCTTTGATTCGTGTGAATTTGTTAACTGTTTGTTGCTTATGCCAATTTCGCTTAGTTAGAGGTTTATCAATTTAACTGTGAGTTGATCATCGGTTAGTTAATCGACTCTCAACAAATGAACGCCTATAATCTGATTTTTATATTTTTAAACCAAGGATTTAGTTATGAACAAATAAACCAAATGGATTTAGCCGCTTAACTGTTATGTTTATTTAATTACTGTTTTCTATTCTGTTTTAGTTTTAATTTCATACCAGAACAACCACAAAACCCCCCATGTGTGTGAGTGTAAAGTGTTTGAATATTTGTTTGAAAGATAATCTTTGGGAGACGACCTAGGAGTCACTTCCTAGTACTATACTTAATTGTTTTATTATTTGCATCGGGTACGACCTCGATCAAAATTGGCGCCGTTGTTGGTGACCATCGGTTCATACAAATTTTCTCTGTAGTTTCATATAGCTTAGTTTATTTTAGTGTAATTTAGTTATTCATTTCTGTAGTGCATTCGAGGTGAACATTTTGATTTGATTCCAAAAGTTGTTGTTGTTGCTATTATTGTACAAGTTACTGTTGACTATTCACTGTTTTATCATATTGCATAGTTTGTCGATTCTGTTTTGCTGGTTTATATAGGTGTGGGTGGAATTTTTAAATGAAATTTTGTTTCCACACTTCTTGCATCCCATATTGATCACCAGACAAAGCAGAATCACTTTCCAAGTTGTAGTGTGTGAGATGCATCTAGGCAATGAATAGTAAATAGGCGAAATTCTATTTGGGGTAGAATCTTATGTTCTATCCATTATGAAACACTATGTCTTTCAGGTCTGCTCCAAAATCCAAAAAACCCTCTTTACTATTTCTTTTTTATTTTATAAGGTTTATGGCGAGTTTACTTTGCATTTTTAGAATAGTTAGGTTTTGAGTTTTTCATTGAAACTTTTTGCACATGTTCTGTATGATTTTAGGATGTTATTGATGTAAAGACTTGGTGGATTACACAATTCTAACATGTATTTCTATTACAGCCTTGTTTTGTTGCTACTGTTGACAGTAGTGCATGACTAGGATTAATACAAGTCATTTGCATCAAATAAATCATGAAATTGATAGAACATATTGTAGGTTAGTTAGACAAAATATGAATTTACCTTTTCATAGTGTATCTGATAGTGATATTGTTTCTGATTCTGTGCATTCTGTTGCATATTTTAATTCTCAGCATTTTCTTTCTATGCATTATGCATATAGTGATTTTGTACATTCTCTGTCATATACTGATTTTGTTGTCTGAGTTTCATGGATTTGCTGGTGAGGATCCTCATAAGCATCTTAAAGAGTTCCACATTGTCTTCTCAACCATGAAACCACATGATGTTCAAGATGATCACATTTGTCTGAAGGCCTTCCCTCATTCACTTGAAGGCTCTGCTAAAGACTACTTGTATTATTTGGCTCCTGGATCCATTACAAGTTGGAGTGACTTGAAGAGGTCATTCTTGGGTAAATTATTCCCTGCCTCCAGGACCATTGCATTCAGAAAAGACATTTCTGGAATTAGCCAGCAACATGTTGAGAGCTTATATGAGTAATGGGAAAGATTTAAGAGATTGTGTGCAAGCTTCGCTCATCATCAGATCTCTAAGCAACTCCTCCTGCAATATTTTTATGAGGGGCTGAACAACATGGATATGGGTATCATTGATGTTGCTAGTGGTGGTGCACTTGGAGACATGACTCATTTTGAGGCAAAATGTTTGTTCATCATAGTGATGTGTTCCCTTCTCTGCTTGAGCCAATAATTGGTGATCATCCCGAGGCTTATGCTGCAAACATCTTCAACAACATACCTCAACCACAACAACAACATCATGATCCATCATCATCAAGCACATACATTCCTACTTGGAGAAATCAAACACCATTTCAGAACACTGCTGGACAGAATAGACAACCATATATGCCCCATCAATCCAACAACAGAGGCAACAAATGATTAATAATCCTGCACCCATTGAGCCTTTTTTGCAGAATTGGTGAGGCAGATGACAATGCAGAACATGCAATTCCAGCAAGAAACCAGAGCTTCCATTCAGAGTCTGACCACACAGATGGGACAAATGGCTACTTCACTAAACACATTACGGCCTCAAAATTCAAGACAATGCTTAACCCAAGGAATTTGAGTGCCATCACCCTTAGATCAGGCAAGCAGACTGAAGTGCCTACAACTAAAACAAAATCTGAGCTTGAAAAAGAACTTAATGCAAATGCATAAAAAAAGGAAGAACTCTGTTTTAGAAGATAAAAAAAATACCACCAAAGAAACTCATGCAAATCAACCTTCCTCAAGTGTTTCACAACAACCATTTTCCATTCCTCTTCCATTTCCACCAAAAAGCATTCCAAACAAGAATATGGGGAATATGGAAGAGCTGGACAAGGACCTCTTGGACACATTCGAAAAGGTTGAGGTGAACATACCTCTCCTTGATGCCATCAAGCAAATTCCAAGGTATCCAATGTTTCTAAAAGAGTTGTGAACTCACAAGAGGAAGCTAAATGGAAATGAAAGGATCATCATGGGAAGGAATGTTTCTGCAATGATAGGTAAATATGTTCCTCACATCCGTGAAAAGTGTAAGGACCCACATAAATTTATTGTACCTTACATCATAAGTAATATAAAATTTGAAAATGTCATGCTTGATTTAGGAGTATCCATTAATGTCATGCCTATGAATGTTTTTAAATTCCTTTCACTTGGACCCTTGCAACCTACGGGTGTGGTAATCCAATTAGCAAATCGGAGTACTGCATACCCTGCTGGTTTGGTAGAGGATGTCTTGGTTTCTGATTGCACTTCACTGTATACTTGTCATGCATGCACTGCTTCTAAGGTGTGTGACTCTTGCATTGATGAGTTTCTGAATATTGTTGTTGATTCTCCTGTTACACATTCACATTGTAGTATCACAATTGATACATGAGTCATACACCAATCTGATTTACTTGTTTAGGTGCAGTCTACAACAAATCCTATCTCTAATACTTTATTTCCATTTGTTTTGAAGGCACATGATTGGACACCCCCCGTTGACCTTATGTGTGATGCTGTTTATGCTTTGGGGGTTGTCCTTGCTACTTATGAATTTGATTTCCTCCCTCTATGATTTAGGGAGTCTTTCTTTCTCTCCATTTTTACTTTTATTGCAATTGTTCAATTACATTTGCTGATAGAACTGCATGAATATTCTGACTGTGCTACATTATGACAATGTGTAGTTTAAGTGTGGGGGGAAGACTAATGTAGGTTTATGTTGATGTATTATTTTCTTTGATTCTTAAGTTTTGCTTAGATTTTGGGAATTTTCTCTCATGCTTTCTTTTAGTTGAGTCTTGATATCTTGTGTTGTGAATCCATGCATTTTCTGTGGGTCAAGTTGCCTTTGAGAATTGAGAGGTTGAGGCAATTGTGATAGACTTGTTGTCCCTTGTGAGATTTTGAGCCTTAATTGTGGATGGATTGTTGTATGCCATCTAATATTCTTTCATGTGTGATTGTTGCACTCTCGATTACTTGCACTCTGATTTCGATAGTTTGAAGCTTAGACATTAGAGTTGTAAATTAATTATCGCTTAGTTAATTGATTCTCAACATATTAGGAATTCACTGTTTATGAGTTGAAATTAATCTTTTGATTCGTGTGAATTTGTTAACTGTTTGTTGCTTAAGCCAATTTCGATTAGTTAGAGGTTTAGCATTTTTACTATGAGTTGATCACCGCTTTGTTAATTGAATCTCAACAAATATACGCCTAGAATCTGATTTTGATATTTTGAAACAAAGGATTGAGTTGTGAACAAATAAACCAATGGGATTTAGCCGCTTTACTGTTATGTTTAGTTAATTGTTGTTTTCTGTTCTATTTAAGTTTTAATTTCATACCATAAAAACCACAAAACCCCCCGTGTGTGAGTGTAAGTTGTTTGAACATTTTTGTGAAAGATAATCGCTGGGAGATGACCTAGGAGTCACTTCCTAGTACGATACTTAATTGTTTTATTATTTGCATCGAGTATGACCTCGATCAAATTTTGCGCCGTTGCCGGGGACTATCGGTTCATATAAAGGTTCTATGTAGTTTCATATAGCTTAGGTTAGTTTAGTGTAGTTTAGTTATTCATTTTTGTAGTGAATTTGAGGTGAACATTCTGATTTGGTTCCAAAAGCTGTTGTTGTTGTTGTTACTGCCCAAGTTACTGTTCATTGTTCACTGTTTTTCCATTTTGCATAGTTTGTTGATTCTGTTTTGCTGGTTTATATAGTTGTGGGTGGAATTTTTGCATGCAATTTTGTTTCTATACTTCTTGCATCCCATATAGAATACCTAACAAAGCATAATCACTTTCCAAGCTGTAGTTTGTGAGATGCACCTAGGCAATGAATAGTAAATATGCGAAATTCTATTTTTAGCATAACTTTGGATCCGTATATCAGAATCGGACATATGATATATGGATTTGGGATGGAATCTTGTGTTATATCCATTGTGTCACACTATGACATAGAGGTTTGCTCCAAAATCCAAAAAAACCATTTTTACTATTTATTGTTTATTTTATAAGGTTTATGGTGAGTCTGTTTTGAATTTTTAGAATAGTTAGGCTTTAAGTTTTTCATTGAAACTTTTTGCACATGTTCTATATGATTTTAGTATGTTATTGATGCAAATACTTGGTTGATTACACAATTATAACATGTATTTCTATTACTACATTGTTTTCTTGCTACTGTTGACAATAGTTCAAGACTAGGAGTAATACATGCCATTTCATCCAATAAATCATGAAATTGATATAACATATTATAGGTTAGTTAGACAAAATAGGAATTCACTTTTTCAGAGTGTATATGATAATGATACTTTTTCTGATTCTGTAAATTCTGTTGCATATTCTGATTCTCAGCATTTTGTTTCCGTGCATTCTACATATTGTGATTATGTGCATTCTCTGTCATATACTGCTTCTGTGCATTATGAAAATATCGCTCAGCCACCTAATTCTTTGTTCCCCATGAGAGGACATTAAGGGAGCTGGCTGCCCCTGATTTTACTTATGACAGTTTGTTATCCAATATGAGGATGTACCATATGTGCTAAAAACTAGATTAGTCCATTTGTTGCATGAGTTTCATGGAGTTGCAGGTGAGGATCCTCATAAGCATCTTAAGGAATTTCACGTTGTCTTCTCAACCATGAAACCACATGATGTTCAATAGGATTACATTTGTTTGAAGGCCTTCCCTCATTCACTTGATGGTTCTGTTAAAGACTGGTTGTATTATTTGGCTCCTAGATCCATTACAAGTTGGGGTGACTTGAAGAGGTCATTTCTGGGCAAATTCTTCCCTTTTTCCAGGATCACAACAATTAGAAAAGACATTTACGGAATTAGGAAGCAACATGGTGAGAGCTTATATGAGTATTGGGAGAGATTTAAAAGATTGTGTGCAAGTTGCCATCATCATCACATCTCTGAGCAACCGCTCCTACATTATTTTTATGAGGGTCTGAACAACATGGATAGGAGTATCATTGATGCTGCTAGTGGTGGTGCACTTGGAGACATGACTCCTTTTGAGGCAAGATGTTTGATTGAGAAGATGACTTCCAATTCTCAACAATTCAATGCAGGGAGTGGTGATGCAATAGTTGTTAGAAGTGTTCATGATGTAGGGACCAATGCAGCAAGGCAAGACAAGCTAGAGAGCAAATTTGATTCTCTTACCACCTTGATCACTCAATTAGCCATAAATCAGCAAAAATCTTCAATTGCAAGAGTATGTGGCATTTACACGTCAACTGATAATCATAGTATGTTTGCCCTTTTTGCTTGAGCCAAGAACTGATGATCATTCCGAGGCATATGCTGTAAACATCTACAACAACAGACCTTCACAACAGTAGCAACATTATGATCCATCATCATCAAGCACATATGTGACACCCATAAAGTATATTTCTTAGAATCCCTCGCTTGAGCGAGAGCACCAGATCTGAAATTTTAAAATGGGCGGGATTTTCTCGCTTGAGCTAGAACCCGACGATTCAACTTTAAAATAGAAACCCCAAACACTTTTAGGGTTAGAGCTTTGGAGAGAATAGAGAGAAAAGAGCATTTTCAAGAACAAGGGTTCGTGAGAATTATCTAGAAGCTTGAGAAGAGGTAAATCTCTTGATTCTAACTCTCTTCTTCCCTTTCAAACTTGTTTTGGGTGTATGAGATCTGTTCTCAAAATGTGAGAAACCATGAAAACTTTTCCTTTTGAGTTGTGGTTCATTTTATTTTGTTTCTCTCATGTAAACTCTTGGTTTAGAGTTGATATCCATCAAAATGGAAAGGTTTTGTGGGTTGGTTCATGAAAACCCCAAAAACCCCAAAATGAAATTGTGGTTAAAGAGGAAAATGGGTGAAATAGTTGAGGTGGAAGATTAGTATGTATTCTAATGAAAAATAAAAGATGAATATGTATATTTGACATGCTTGGAAGTCGTAGATAAAATGGGTTGAGAATCATTGGAAATATGAACATCTTTTATGGTTGAATGTGTAATATGAGTAATTTATGTGTTATTGTGAAATAAATGACTGATTTTGTTGTTATGTGGTAGGAATGAGGAAAGATCCTAGAGTTGGAGGAAGTGACGAAGGAAAGTGTAAAGTTACCAAGAATCCAACCCCACACACCAAGGTAAGGATAAGTCTTTAACTTGTACATTGTATAAGAAAATGTGTGGATTTTCTAGTTATAAATTGATTGTGAATCAATGAAAAGAAAACATGTTTTTATGCAATTAAGGGTAGTTACGGTATGTCACTGAAATTGTATGTTAGAGCTATGAGCTAACTAAAGAAATGGATGATTTAAAGATTAAAAGAAATGTATGTATGATATAATATGGGGAAATCAAGCAGAAATGATTAAAATAAATGAAAAATTTTCAAGGGTAGAATTTGGGTCCTTACAATATGGTATTAGAGCATAATTAATCCTGCGACCTAGGGTATGGCCTTACGTGCTTCTTTGTGATCTTTATGCGCTTATATTACTTAGTTGGTACCAACTGTTGTGTGATTATGTGATTCTTGTCTTGTTAAAATTTGGTTTACTGACAAGTGAATGAGTACAGGTACACATGGCTAGAAGAGGAAGAGGAGCGAGTCAAAATATTCCGAATGACCTTTTGGCTCAGATGGTGTCTGCACTGCAATATGTGAACGAAAACTTGCAGGCTCTGAATCAGAACACAACACCAAGTCCGAGTTCGCAACCCTTCTCAAGCTTCTAGATGACTCACAAGACTCCTTTCTCTTGAAAATGCTCTCTTCTCTCACTTCTCTCAAGGTTATCCCCCAAAATGTGTTTGGGGTCCCTTATTTAATGTAACAACGTCGGGTTCTCGCTCAAGCGAGCCCAATCTCGCTCAGGCGAGAAAATCCTGCCTTTTTATAATTTTAGATCTGACGCTCTCGCTCAAGCGAGGGATTCTCGCTCAAGCGAGAATCTCACAACCTTGACATGTCCAGAAGGCCACTTCTCGCACAGGCGAGAAAACTCTCGCTCAGGCGAGACAACGCTCGCTCAAGCGAGGATCTTCTCGCTTAAGCGAGAATCCTTCAGTGTAGCCCAGTATTTCACTCACCTAGGTGAGCCTCTCTCGCCCAGGCGACACTTTTCTCGCTCAAGCGAGACTCCCAAGGCTGGCACTATAATTTAAAGACTTAAAGTTAGGGTGTAACATGCGGCAAATGTGGCCGAACTCATGTCGGTGACTTATGCCCTAGAACAACACTTATCTACTTTCACTTCAAGGAGGCTGGGCATATCAGGAGATATTGTCCTAAGTTACGACATAGTGTGAATGTTGTGAGGGTTGAACGACCTCGATCCACAAGCAGAGTGTTTACCATGAGTGGTGCAGAGGCATCAGATGTGGATGGTTTGATCAAAGGTAATTGCATGGTGGCAGGGATTCCTCTTTTAGTGTTATTTGATTCGGGACCGACACACTCCTTTGTATCTGATGAATGCGTGGATAGACTGAAATTGCAAACTGAGTCGTTGCCTTTCAACTTGGTCGTATCCACCCCAACTAGTTTTCCTGTGGTGGTGTCGACGGTTGTGTCTCGATGTCCGGTAGTGGTAAACGGTAGGACATTTACCGTGGATTTAATCTGCTTACCACTGTCCCAGTTAGATCTAATTCTGGGAATGGACTGGTTATCAGAAAATCATGTGATGCTTAATTGTGCTGATAAGACCGTGGTGTTTGGAGATCTGGGTGAGATTTCTGATGAGGCTTGTTATATGAAGCCGTTGTCGGCTAAAGGAGTCAGAACTTCCTTTAAAGAGGGAGGGGTCGTGTTTGTTATGATGGCATCCCTGGAGGGTATTGATAAACCCAGAGTTGAGGATATTCTGATAGTTCGTGAGTTTCCTGAGGTGTTTCCTAGTGATATTCCGGAATTGCCTCCAGTCAGAGAAGTTGAATTCTCCATTGACTTGGTACCTGGAATGGGACCAATCTCTATAGCTCCTTACAGAATGGCACCGTTAGAGTTGGCTGAGTTAAAAAATAGGTTGAGGACTTGTTGGCAAAGAAATTTATTCGTCCTAGTGACTTACCGTGGGGTGCACCTATTTTGTTGGTTAAGATGAAAGATGGGAGTATGAGGTTGTGCACCGATTATAGACAATTGAACAAGGTCATCATCAAGAACAAGTATTCATTTTCTAGGATTGATGACTTGATGGATCAGTTGAGAGGAGCGGTGGTGTTTTCAAAGATTGACCTTCGGTCAGGTTACCACCAACTTCGAGTGAAGTCAGAGGATATTCCTAAAACTGCTTTTAGGATGAAGTATGGGCATTTTGAGTATTTGGTGATGCCCTTTGGTGTAACGAATGCCCCAGCAATATTTACCGACTATATGAATCAGATTTTTCACTCGTATTTGGATTAATTCGTGGTGGTATTTATTGATGACATTCTGGTTTACTCGAAGAGCCGAGAGGAACATGCAGAGCACCTGAGAATTGTTCTAGATCTTCTTAGTAGGAATCGGTTGTATGCTAAATTGTCCAAATGTGATTTTTGGTTGGAATCGGAAAAATTTCTTGGGCATGTAATATCCAAGGAAGGGGTAGCAGTAGACCCTTCTATGGTTGAATCGGTTATGGAATGGGCAGTACCCAATTGAGTTACTGAGATCAAGAGTTTTCTGGGTTTAGCTGGTTACTACAGAAGGTTCATAGAGGGGGTTTCGAAGTTGACATTACCTCTAACTAAGCTTACCAGAAAAGGAGAACTGTATGTGTGGACCATCCGTTGTGAAGAAAGTTTTCAAGAGTTGAAGCGGAGGTTGACTAAGGCACTGATGTTGGTTCTTCCTTGTACAGATCGTGATTTCAGTGTGTATTGTGATGCTTCTAAGCAAGGTTTGGGTTGTGTGTTGATGTAGGACGGGAAAGTGGTTGCTTATGCTTCGCGACAGTTGAGAACTCATGAGCAAAACTACCCTACACATGATTTGGAATTAGTTGTAGTGGTCTTTGCCATAAAAATCTGGAGACACCATCTTTATGGCGTAAGGTTTGAGGTGTACAGCGACCATAAGAGTTTGAAGTATCTGTTTGATCAAAAGGAACTGAACATGAGACAGAGAAGGTGGATGGAATTCCTTAAGGACTATGATTCTGGATTGCAGTACCATTCGGGAAAGGCCAATGTGGTGGCCGATGCTTTAAGTCAGAATTCTTTACACATGTCGGCTTTGATGGTTCGAGAAGGAAAACTGATTGAGGTGTTCAGGGATATGAACTTGGAAGTTCAAATAAGACCTCATAGTATGATGTTAGGAAAGCTTAAGGTCACAAATGAACTGTTTGACCAAATCCGAGTAATGCAAGTTGAGGATAGTGAGCTGATGGTTAAACGAGATATGATGATGAGTGGGAAGGAGACCGATTTCGCACCGGACCCTAGTGGAATGTTGCGTTACAAAGGGAGAGTGTGTGTGCCTCGTGATGTGGAGTTGCGAAAGAGTATTCTAGAGGAGTCACACGAGTAAAATGAGTTTTCACCCGAGAACTACAAGGATGTGGCTTTGTATGTCTCTAGTTGTCTTGTCTGTCAGAAATCCAAGATTAAGCATCAGCGGCCAGCGGGGGAGTTACAGTCACTAGAGATTCCCGTGTGGAAGTGGGATAGTATCTCTATGGATTTTGTATCAGGTTTTCCAAAGACTCAAAAAGGGTATGATTCGATATGGTTAATAGTGGATCGGTTGACTAAGTCTGCACACTTTTTACCTATGAACATGAGATATTCTTTAGAGCGATTGGCAGAACTGTATATCAAGGAGATTGTCTGGTTGCATGGAATACCGTCGAGCATTGTGTCGGATAGGGATCCCCGTTTCACTTCAAACTTTTGGACTAGTTTGCAGTCTGCATTGGGAACTAAGTTAAA